GTCCACTTCTTATTATCACGTCGGGGTCACCAGTTGTCGCAGTCGTGGCAGCCAAAAACACAAACAACTGGGGTAGATGCAACGCCAACTACGCTTTATTGTTTTCTTGGTACATTATTTATATCGAGCTCTCCTCATCGTGGCTGCTGCTTATTGGTGAGGACTACAAAGGACAGTAGCTAGTAACAGAGTTATGATTGGATGATTCTTAGCTTGGCCAGTTTCTGCTCCGTGGCCAAACCTCCTTAAACTTGTTAATAACTTTCTGCTGTCTCCGTGTGAACTCCCTATCTCATAGATACACTCTAATCTTTTCAAGGTTAACATTCTCTGCTAAGGGAGCCAGGGATTTCACAGACCAGCTGCAATCCCTGACATTTTTGCATTAAATTTAAATTGATTATATGATTTAAGTATGAACATGGAACATCTGGAGTATTCTGTAAGCATTTAATGCTGTATAAGGGTGATAAGTATCTTATTTTTAGCTGATGAAACATTGGGGAAAATCCGATTGGGTTGTGTAGAGCCAAAAAAGTTAGTGCATTACCTAAAAAAAAATCTCTATTCGTGATTTATATTTTCATAGACTGTTCTGCATAATACTCTAGACAATGTCAGTATTAATAAATATATGCTTGGTACTGATTAGTTGGTGAAATCAAGAAATTCAATTGCTATTTTCTTTGCTTGAACAGTTGTTACTCAACCGAGCCCGTCAGTTTCTCAGCCTGGTATCTCACAGAATGAAGAGAGAGCTCCTGAGCTGCCCAAAGTAAAGAAGAACAGATGTTTCATGTGCAGAAAGAAGGTTGGCCTTACAGGTATGAGCACTTTGTCAATATTGAATAGATCTGTATGATTAGCTGCCTCTTATGAGTTGTTTCAAATATCTGTAGCCAGAGTTAAACCACTTAATATAGCTGACGTTGAAAATGTTCAATTTATTGTTTGTTGGAATAGGTGCATGTACCCCCTTTATCTCTTTTGATTAAATACTTAATGTACAGCTTGCTTACATTTGAAGCTTCTTAGTGATGCTATTTCTTCTCCTTTGTACAGGATTTGACTGCCGATGTGGAAACTTGTTTTGTGGACTTCACCGTTATTCTGACAAGCATAACTGTCCATATGATTACAAAGCAGCAGCTGCAGCAAAAATCAGGAAAGAGAACCCAATTGTGATGGCTGAAAAAATCCAGAGAATATAAACTAACCTACTTGAAGAGACTGATTTTTTGCTTTAATTTTAATACATCCTAAGAAAATATTAAAGAACAGATGCATGGCCATTTTCCTTTGTTCTCCAAAATTTTACTTTTAGTCTTGTCTGTCTAATGATATTTCAGAATGCTTGGCTGTTTGATACAGGGAGAATGTGTTATATACAGCCCTTGAAAATGTATATGCCCTCCCTGGAATATAACTGGAAGATCAGAACCTGCACAGGAATATACATGCACACTCTAGTTCACATGTGCCAAATGGATGTGTGCTATCCATGTGTTTGCAGTAGTTCTGCCTTTTGAGGTGTTGGAAGCATATAATCCTTGGCTAGTGTTATGTGCCTGTTTGGGAGAAGGACACATCAGAATGGTTGGCAGTCTAATTCTACCATTTAAAAACACATTCTAATTTCAGTTTCTGTACTGCATTGTTTTTCAGCAAAAGGTACGTGATGTAGAAGTCTTCCAGTAAGATGAGTTTGTGCCATATTTAAATGGTTTAACGATTGTAGTGGGAAAAGTGGAAAAAAATCAAATGTGTATAAGAACTGAACTATTTTGGAACTAATTATGTTAACTTTAGAATCATGGATATGTGTTCCCAAAGGAAAAGTCCTGTAAGAAACTTATGAAATGGACTGCAGCAGAGTTGTCTATTCTTCCTTGCATATCTAAAAATGCTGTGTAGCACAGTATTGTAAGATTTGCTTTACAAAACAAAGGCTACGTGTGTGTTATACATACCACAGCAGCTCAAGTAACATGTGCATCCAATTAAGTTGCAGAAGCATTTGAGCAGTCTATTCACATACTACTAATGTTCAATGTTATTCTGGGCTCAAAAAAAAATTAGGAGCTTTCTTATTTTTCCTAGATTAAAAGTAATAATTGTATCATTCCATATGGAAAACCATACTCAACAGGGCTGCTGTAGATTTAAGTGGTAGCTGGAACCTTTTGGAGGGCTGCTTTATCATTTTTAATTGGATGTAGGACTGTAGTGTTCTCGAGTGTATTGCATGGGCTGCATTATCTACAGCATTGTACAATAACTCTAGAAAAGGCAATATATGTCATTGACACTTGTCTGGTAATATCACTTCTGTGTTATAATGGAAGGCTTTTTGTGATGTACGAAACTTGTGTTTTTATATAAGCAATACAGTTTAAACTAGCGTTGTGGTAATACCTGTTCTCATCTGTAAATAGTTATAGAAGGAGCTACTTCTAATTTTATTGCAGTGTTCAGTCTTATTCTTTACTTCTACTATTAAAAGCATCACATTTTTGCTTTAATTTTGCTCTTTTAACTGAGTTTAGATATGCAAACATGTACAGACAGTTCATATTTATGTATTGCACATAATATGCTGCCCAGCATCTATGCTATATTGTATTATGTAAATAATAAAAATAATGTACAGAAGGAACTACTTACTTTTGTGATAGCTCATTGGTTTTAGTTGTGGCTATAACCTGAAACTGGTCTTGTGGAGACTGGACTACAAATTTAGTACTAGTTTTGTATAAATGTTGTCTTTTTGCTTAAACCTGCCTATTTCTAACATTTGTTTCTTATTTTGACATGGTAACTTGTCTAAGATACCTTGTT